CATACTGAAATTGATAGATACTTCATTGAAGAAAAACTAGATAATAATTTAATATGTACTTCATATATGCTGATCAGTTCTAACTTGTATATATATTTAGTAAAGGTTTGAGTAATTAAGCATTTAAAACTATTATTGGTAGGCTGGGGATGGACAATATCTATCCTTAAATTAGAAAAGTGTTGAAGAGAGTATGTAATTAGGTTAAAGGGTATTAAAGTAAAATACAGTTTATGTAATTAATAATTTATTTCTTTTCCTATTCTAAAAAACTTGTATTTAGGGATTTAGTATTCAATAAAATACACATTCAACTATTCTTAATATTTTTCCATGGAGACTTTGAGGATGAAATCTATATGACCCAGCCTAAAGGATTCGTGGTTGCTAGTAAAGAGAGTATGGTTTGTAAAAACTTGACAAATCATTTTATGAGTTGAAACAATCGCTGGAGCAGTGGTACAAGTGATTTGACAAGTTTATGCAGGGGCAAGAATACACAGGAAACAAATAAGATCATTCTGTGTATTTATGCAAGCCACAAGATGGTCTGTTTTATTCTTGATATTGATGATATGTTGACTGCTCAAGGAACTAAGGAGAAATCGAAAAGTTGAAAAGTCAGTGGAATCACGAATTTGAAATAAAGGATCTTGGTGAAGCTGAGAAGATTCTCAACATGAAGATAAGTAGAGATAGGAATTTGGAAAGATTGTGTTTGACTCAAAAAAGTATATTCGAAAAAGGTGCTAAAACGGTTTCGTATGGATGGAAAAAGTCAAAAACCAATTAGTACCCTGTTGGCTCCTCATTTCAAGCTCTGTGCACTTCTATCTCTGGATCATGATGCGGATGGGAGGTAGATGAGCGAGGTTCTATGTGCAAATATTGTTGGTAGCTTAATATATGCTATGGTGTGTACTAGGCCCAACGTTTCACATGCAATTGGAGTTATGAGCAGGCATATGCATGATTTGAGTAAGAATCATTGGCAAGCTATGAAATATTGTGCAGCATATTATGAAAACAATAAATGTCGAATTGATGTTTCAATGGGATGATAAACTTAGTCAAGACATGGTCACATACTGTGATGCTGACTGCACTGTTGATTTAAGTAAGCGTCGATCTATGACTGGCTATGTGTTTTCTTATGCAAAGATACCAGTTAGTTAGAAATCTACTTTGCAGTCAACAGTAGCTTTATCTATTAAATAGGCAGGGTACATAGCAATTGCTTAGGTTTGAAGTAGACAATTTGGCCTTATGGGTTGCTTGGTCAGTCGGGAGCTGAAAAGAAGCACATCAATGTACACAGTAACAGCCAGATTGCTGTTCATCTAGCGAGGAACCAAGTCTGCCATGGAAGGACAAAGCATATTGACGTGTGATATCACTTTGTTCGGGAAATTCTAGAAGGATAAATCAAGATCCATAAGATTTAGACCATCAAGAATCTTGTTAACATGTTGATAAAAGTTGTGACAGCAGTCAAGTTCAAACACTGTATACTTGATCAATATTATTAAAATTTGAAGATTGGAAGACACCACTTGTGACAACTTATGAGAGAAGATTTGTAAGATGAAGGCCGAAAATTCACCAAGGTGGAGATTTTTTAAAAGTGACTGATTTCAAATTTTATTTTATTTTCACATTTATGGTGAGACAAGATAGAAGTCTCCTTGCTACAGAAATTCAATCCCTCCTTTTGTTAATCACTCCATAAAAGGTAAAGCATTCAATCCTTTATGTTTTTTGTCTCTTCTTGCTTTTTGTATTACTTTCTTAAAGAAACAATAGTTATTTTAGTGGTGTCGAGGATATAGGCTAAGTTGCCTGATCCTCATTAGAACTTTGGTGTTTTCTTAATTTTATTGTTTATGTTATCTTTATTTATTGTCTATTTAATAGCTATTGATAGTTGTAGTGATATACTATATTAGTAAATTACGATTCGAGGTTAATTTCTAAGGAGATTGGATTTTAAGTGGGACCGCTTGTGATCCATCCAATATTTCCTTTGAATCTTCCTAATGTGATTTTCTATTTCAATCGTTCATTAGCAAATAGTGGTATCAGACCTCTGAGTACAAAATATCAGAGGTAGCAAAGTTCTAACACCTAGTTGATCATAACATCCAATTTTTAAGAAGAAAAAAGAAGAATAATCATCGGAGCTAATTGTTAGTTTGGTGGATCTTCTAACGTGCTGCCAAATGTTGGTTGTGTGTTCTGCCAGAATATGTTTCTGCCAAAAAACAGTTACATTAGATTTATGCAATGACACATGTTTGTTAATGTTCTTTCATGGTGAACATTAAATAATCATGACATCAGTCATGGCAGATTTAATGTGTTTTGTTGGCTTTTTGCCAACTGTTAAGCTATCTAGGATAAGGCAATTATTGTAAAGCAGTTGTTCAGTGTAAATTTATGTTTTGCAGTGATGAAAGGATGTAGGAAGAATTTACGTAAGTTTTTTTAGTACTTAAAAGTATAAGAAATTGCTAAGTTCTCTCTTATTGAGTCCATAACATTATCTTGTCCCATTAACACGATCTTGATGGTGTGAGTTTTCATTCTAGGCTTTGACAAGCGGCATTCACTATAAAACAATTCTTGGGCATGTAGTGCCTTCCTTAGTACCACCCCTCCCTTGTCCTAATTTGCCTCTATTTATCTTCTATGCATAGAATTACAACAATGTTGTCAATGGCTTGTATTAATTGTATGTGCCTTATTTCATGCCAAACTTTCTTAGCATCCTGTTGTCAAGGGTTTGTGTTAATTGCATGTGTCAATGTATGGGCTGTCAGTTGTGGTCGTTGTAGTTTTTCTTTTTTCTTAAGAGAAAAGTCCACAAGTGTGGGACATAAACTAGACAATAAGCAAGCGTGTGTAGCTTTCTTCTTAGTCTTAATCTTTCTATATTAGGTTGTTTCTCCATTCTAAGGGCAAATAAAATGCCTATCAGATGTGGGGCAAGAGAGTGAAACATGGAGGAAATCTGTTGTCTACCATTGCTGACTCAAAGATTCGTGATGGCAACACCATAAGGATGATATTGGAAAGCTGATTTTGTGAAGAATCATGCATTGTCCTGGGTATTATCATTCATGGGCTTTAGGACAGAGGCGATTCCTCCATATATTAAGTGGGGGCAATAGACACCACTTTAGTTTGGGGGAAAATCAATATAATATATATGCAAATTTTCAATAGAAGATTATTTTGACCTTATAGTTTTAGTAATTTTGACCTTATGAATCATAATAAATGGTGATGGTGATCTCATTAGTCATAATACCCCTAGTTTTGATACTTGTGACCCTCTTTTTGTACTTTATTGACATCAATGCCGGAATGTTCCAACTCCACCCTTGCTGGTGCTTTTGGAGTGAATGAAAATTTGTTTGTGAGAGGGAGGGGGTTCCATGGATTTTCGCCATTTGTTGGAGTTCATTCATAGGTAGTTCTTCAGTTTACTTCTTCTTGTCAATATCAGTCACTTCTCTTACATTTATCTGTCCGATGCTGAACTTAAGAATAAGTTACTCAGCCTGAATATTGAATTTATTTTCTCATTGATTCCAAGAACCTAATTTCTTTGTATTTATTCAGCAGGCTTCTCAAATTTTATTCTTCCTTTTACTGGAACTATTAAAATTTGTACCCTAGGGCTTAGGGGCTTTCTTAATAACTTTATGTGACAGGAGGCATGCATCTCAGAAGCATGTAAGCATGGAGAAGGACTCTAAAGTAGTTAACGAGAAGGCTTCTACTTTAATAAAGAGCATGTTAAGGTAGGGCACCTCCTATACTTATTTACTGTTTATTTTGGCTTACCAGCTATTTAGATTGAAGTGATAATGCTCTAAACACACATTCACACAATATGTAGTGGTTTATTATCTTCACAAATGTATGATTGAAGGTGTTATGATGGCAACCATCATTGTGAGTAAGGTAGGGCTGGCTATACTTCATGCTTATTTTGGTTTACCAGTCCTATAAATGTTGATGCTCTGTAAACAAACTGTCAGGGTCCCGGGCTCTAGATCTGGCCAGAGAGCCTGCTAGTGTGAAACCTTAAAGCAAGCAAGCTGTTTGCTTCCCCGTTTGACCTTGCTGACTTATTGTGAGGATGGTCTAAAAGAAACTCCGATCTTTAGAGAAAAACTCTTTGAATTAGTAGTTGATGCTTTTGTTCTTGATAATGTATGTATTTGCAGGGAAGCTAGTTAAATTAGATTTCTATTACAGTTTCAGGAATCGTAGTCCCTTTTTTTTCTAATTCCTAATCTGAGTCTATTTATTGTTCTAGAAATTATGTTCCTATTTCTATTCCAATTTCCTAATCTAAGTCTAAATCTCAAGTACTTAATAGAATTCTTCAAAAATTATAACTCTTATTAGTTCCTTAAAGAAACTAACTTCCTACCAATTATTGACTCCCTCCTCTTGGCTGGTTTGATGGCTCCCACACCCTTCTTTTTGTGTACTGTAACTCGCACATAGTGGTGTGTTATCTCCACAAATATATGATTGATAATGCACTGATGGCAACCATCATTGTGAATGAAAGGGAATGGAAGAAAGAAAAGAATTTGATTTACTTGCTTTTGTTGTCAAAGATATTTGGCAAGGACAAGGTTTGTCAAAAAAATTTTATCGCTATCTATTAAATGATTTATTTATTTATTTGCATTAAAATGGCAAGAACAACTACTATGGACTTAGGGAATTGCTCTGGTATTTTTTCGCTGTTATACATGATGAGAGGCTGGGCATTGGTCAGGACCATTTTCCATTAAATGGTCCAATTCAAGCTGGGTCCAAGTTTTTGGAGGGGATGGGCAGGACCGGACCTGAACATACAACCAATACATGGTTGAGTTGTTGTTCATCCAAAAATTGTGGCTCTATATTGGTTCCAGCA